AAGATACTGTTCATCACCGGATAATGTTCATCAACCACATAACAACAGTGCTCATATGTGTGGATAACTATTTTATTTATATTGATAATTATTTTATTTACATGTTAAATGGTATATTATCGTGATAAGTTCATATAATATGTTACATTCATAGTTATCGTGTTAAACGAGTTATCATATCATACAAAGTTAATATAAAGTATTAATTTTAGAATTGTGAATTAATATTCTTTTAAAAAAATCTTAATTAATTACATGATATACAAATAATAAACATATTACATATAATTATAGCGATAACAATATTGATAACACACTACACATACTTGTAACGGGTTAAGATATTAAATACATCTAATAATATTAATATTAATCTGTTAATATATTAAATAGTATTACATATTGAAAAATTAGGATGGTGATGAGATACCTAACAAATGATTATGTATTAATTTGGAAGTTGTTTATTTATTTAACACAGGTAAATTAAATTGTACGTCGATAAATTAACATTTAGCACAATACAAAAATTATAAACATGTTATATAAAATATTAACGAGATACAAACCTTGCCAAACTTTTCCAATCATCAAATTCCTGAGACACCTTTCACCATATTTCCCGATCTACTCTTCCAATCTTGCTAAACTTTTTCAATCATCAATTTTTTCTAATGATTATCACTGACAGTTCGCCGGTTCCTAAGCTTTCAAAGTCACCTTTCATTTTTTTATCGTTACTTGAACGACACCACAATTGAACCGAAAATAGAACCATGAACTCCGCCGGAATCAAAAACCGCTCCACCTTGGCTTTGCCCTTCACGGAATTAAAAACCCACTTCGTTTTAACTTTGTTATGTCAAGTTTATGTGATGAACTCTTGGCCGGAGTTCACCCGAAATGGTTGACGAAGAGGAGAGAGGGAGAGGAAGATGAGAGATTAAAAAAAAACAAATAAATAAAGAAGGATAGTAGAGTAATCTTCTTAGATTTATTACTGTAGAAATAGTACCTATTTTATTCACCTAATTATACATTCGTCTGAGCATAGTTTGTGATCTTTTCCTTTTAAAAACATCATAATATATATAGATATATATTATATAACTGACATCTGAATTTATAAAAAGAAAACTGAATCTACAAAAAAATGAATTTATAAATACCATAATATATACTTTGATTTGTGATGTTTACAGATATATATATATATATATATATATATATATATATGTATATATAAATTTGGCATATACTTTGAATTTCATAGTGTATATATATATATATATATATAAATAAATTTGGCTTATATTTGGCATATAATATATATATATATATATAATTCAAAGGTCATATATTATGATTGCCAAAAAAATGTATATTTCTCTTTATAAAAAATGATTGCCAAAAGGAAAAGGTATATATTGTTATATTACCAAAATTTTATAACAAAATATAGCACAAAAAAGAATTTGTTGTCTATTTTGTTATATTATTTTGTGGTATATTTTTTTGTATTACCAAAAGTATATACCAAAATGTTATTATATAATTCTTTTGTGGTATATTTTGTTATATTATTTTTGGTAAAATTAAATTATAATTTATTATTTTTAATTTTTCATCAAAAATAAATAAATAAATAAATAATATTTTTTTATAGAGAAGACATTTTTTCCTTTATATTTTTGGGTCAATATTTGGTTAAAATATAGTTAAACTCGATTAAATTTAGTTTAATTCTGAGAAAGTCAAACCGTATTAAATATTATTGATTTACTGACCGATTCAATTGGAAGCATAGTTTTATGCATACAGTTGCATTTTACCTGTTTACCTCGTACTCAATGGTGTTGTAAATGTTTATGAGCTGAGTCAAGATCCTAACAGTGGAGGTCTTGGTCTGATTAGGCTCTCCCGTATGGCCGTATAGCCATTTCCACACTCCTTGTAAACTCTTTAAAAAAAAAAGAATTGGAATGGTGGGTGGACTTCTATATGTTCTTTGATTGGAGGTGATATCTCTTTGCTCTATAGTTTCTCAAAGAGACTTGAAAACTCTTACTATCCATAATCTTAGATTAGATTTCTTATTATTATTTTTTTTATTTTTTATAAGATTTCTTATTAATTATTGTGATTCACGAGTCTCTTATAACACCCTTGCTTCCAACTGTGATACTACGTGTGATGGCAACACAAGAAGGGATTAATGGTGAAATGGTTATTCATAAATCTTGTCACCAAACTTAGAGAGGACAACTATCTTGTTGGGGAATCGATATCGGCTTCAATGGTTGGAAGAACAAATGAGTGGTACATTCTTAATTTCTTTTACAGTGAAGGAGTATATATATATATATATATATATATATATATGTATAAATGAGTGATTCATTATCTTGATAATATAATAAATAAATTTATTTTTTTATCAAAAGAAAAGAAAAAACAAGTGAACTTATTTTCAAAGGTACATTTAATCAATTAATGCATAAAATTTCACATAAATTGTCAATAACCTTTTTGATAGTAATGTACTAAATAATGTATTTTCTAGGAATAAAATTTGTTTCAAAAAGATAGAGTTTGTAAATTCCCTCTTTATATCTTCCGATACACCCGCGAGATATCCCGCATTGAAATGTATCTCGTTCCCCGAGTTGTACGCTATGCCGTTATCGTTCTCCACGAATAGTGTGATCTATGTAAATGACTTTCTATCCGAAGGGTTGGTTTGTCGGAACAAACGCCGCACGAAGTCTGTCGCCGATCTTAGTGATTGTGTGTTGTAGCTCACGCCTCCTATCTCTCCCCGGAATCTCTTTCCGCCGGCGAAATCTCTGGTGTTGTCGACAACCGAATAGTCAACTGCATAAACTAATTAATAAGACAACGAGCATCAGAGAGATTACAAAAAAGATTTTGTGAAACATCATCTTTGTATTTTGGGACAATGATGAGTTTAGATTTAGATGAAGGTCTTTATAGTGAGAAAAGTAATCAAAATTGGTCAATGGAAGACCTTTTTTCAGTAATCTCCCACTATATAAGTTTTGTATATACTATTTATCAATTATGAAGATATGTATTATTATTTTTTGGTGGATGAAATCATTTTGTAGAAGATGTAGAAATAAGATTGTACATGAATCTGAGTTTTCATGAAGTTTTTTGGAATTACAAATTGGATATCTAGCAAAAAAATATTATCTGGAAGATTTTTAGAGAACTTTACATGAAAATGGTCTAGAAGTACGATATTAAGAAAAAATGGTCAAAATAGTAAGTTTTACAAAGAGATCATGATAACTCAGATGTAGAAGATGAATTGTTAGAAAATTGTATGTCGCAAGAAATTTTAGGATAAAGTTAAATAGACAACTGGAATAATATTTTCAATGTAAAAAGACATACTAATTAAGGTCCAAAATTCTCATGATCCTGGAGGTTATATGAAAATCATTAAGTTTCTGAATATAATGACCACCGAAAGGATGATATATATGACTGGAATACATATTCTAAATATTCTAAAGATGATGTTATTTTCTTACAAGTATAGTTTAATGGACAATTACACGAAAGTGTCTTTTGATGTGAGTCGATCTCTCTCAAAAAAAAAAGTTTAATTATGGCGAAAGCTTTAAAATAATATAAATACAATGTATAATATATTAATATATCTTGGTTTCCAATAGAAACGTACAAGAGATTACAAGTTATTCCAAAGACTGATTTATTTAACTTTGTTCAACGTTTTATTTTGACCGAAGTCACCTAGTTATTAATTTATAATCTTTTTAATTTTAGCAAAGTTTTGTTTCTTTTTTTTTTTTTAATGTTAAACTATATTAATACCCAAGTTGAAGTTTTTCCAAAAACAAAACAAGAATAAAAGAAAAAAAAAAACGCAGAAGCTTGAAGGTGGTAATTAACCCCGAACAAAATAACATATACAACTGAAAAATACAAACTTAACAAGGGAAATACATAAGAGGCGCAGCTAGAAATTATCGTTGTGGGGGTCAAAATATTTTCAATATAAAATAATATTATTAATTTTGTTTAAAAATAATCTACCCATAAAAAATGAAATATTTATCTCAAAATCAACCAAAATAAAAGAATTTTTATACATTATATAAGAATAATATTTTTGTTTCAATGTATGTGGACAAATTTTATCCCATATAGTTAAATAAATTTTGTATGGGGTTCAAAAACTATCAAACATTGGGGTCATAATAATTACTTTTAAGAAACTATAGTTGATTTTTCAAAAAATATGTTCACTAGTGGAATGGGTGGAAGGGAGACTAGGCGATTACGTAGTAGACTAGTAGCCGATTAATCTTCCCCTCTGATGCCAATGGAGGATTAATTGTCGATGCAAAGATTAGCAAAAGCTTCAAAAATAAAATAAAAAGCTTTAAAATATAACAATATAAATAGAATTACGGTATATTTGCACTATATGGCAATAGATATCATGATAATTAAAGATTAAAATAAAATATTTTTGTTTGATGAACGAAATGGATAAAAATATGGTTTAGACGATTTTACTTCTATCATTTATATACTATAATGCATGATTTTTCCGCAACGTTAATCTAGGTAGATTATCTAATTTATCAACTATAGGAATTAGGCGGTTTGAATCATGTCGTTTAATTGTTGCGAGACGTTAACTTTTATATTCCCATAGATTTTTACTTATTTTTTTCTCATATAATAAAGATAACTTATTGGACAATTACAAGAAAGAGTTTTTATTCGGCCACGATCACGAACAACACTGACTTAACGTTCTAAATCAACTCCCAATATTTTATATTTGAATAAACTTACAATACCATTTTTAGCAAGAGCTTATATTTTAATACAAAGACATCAATGTATTTTCAATACCATATTAGCAACACCATAAGATAGTACAAATCATTTTTATTTTTCCTTTTATCATTCATTTTATTTTATTTTATTTTCCATACCATATTGAGATTAGTTTCTTATATCGTTTGTATTCATTGACCATACTTGGCCTTGTACTCTCTCCATAGTTGATTAACGTCTTTCCCAAGCAAATCAACGAAGAAGGCATCACTATAACCATTCCTCATCTTCTTGTTCAGTTCGGCCACAAACCCACTCCTCAGACCGTTACAATAATCCAAGAACCTCGCGGTAACGTCATAACCCTGATCCCATCTATCACCACGACCAGGCCCGACCCAATGACTTGGAGCGTAACCCGCTTTCAGCCTCACGTAATCTGCTATCCCTTCGATAAGCCCACCCGGAGCCCGACCCGCACCGTTCCACTGCCAAGAATGGACCACCTCATGATAAACAACACCGGTAAATTCTCTCTTTACATCTCCTGATACACCCGCGAGATATCCCGCGTTGAAATGTATCTCGTTTCCAGAGTTGTACGCTACGCCGTCACCGTTCTCCATGATCAGTGTGATCTTTGTAACGGGCTTTCTGTCCGAAGGGTTGGTTTGTTGGAACAAACTCCACACGAAGTCGGTCGCAGCTCTTAGTGACTGTGTGCCGTAGGTTATACCGCCGATCTCTCCCCGGAATCTCCTTCCACCGGCAGAGTCACCGGTATTGTCGATGACCGAGTAGTCAACTGCATTAACCAATGAGAGAACGAGCATCAGAGAGATTACAAAAAAGATTTTGTGAAACGTCATCTTTGTCTTTTGCTTGTATTTTGGGACAATGATCTGTTTAGATTTAGATGGATGTATTTATAGAGAAAATAAATGGATTTCTGAGAAAAAATATTCAAGAATGGTCAATCAAAAACCTTTTCTTCGGCAGTGTCCCATTTTCTAAGTTTTGTACAAATGCGACTTGGTCTTTTTACATATTTTATTGTCGGTAAGGAAACAAAACAAATTTGAAATGAAGAACATAGTTTTCTACTTTATTTGATGGTAGAAGAAACTAAGACCGGTCTTTCTATTATTTTATATACAAAATATGAGTTTGTTAGTATATCTTTTTTCTTTCTTTTTTTAAGTCGAAGAAGAGTGATTCAACTATAATTGTAGATTGTACTAAAAAGTTTTTAGTTGTAGATTATGTCAGTTATACAGTAGACTAGGTCAGTTAAACAATTACTAACAATTGTATGTTAAAAGAATTACTAACTATATCTCTAATTTAATTTAATTATTATTTTGTTCATGTGATATTATAACATAAAAGTTGATTAAGAGAAACTAATTCGCGTAACAATGAACAAATAACTAAGGGAGTTTCATAACATGCATCGGTGTTGTGTTCTGAAGACATATTGACATTAACTTGTGCATAAGCATAAGCATTTAATGCGGTGACGTTAACTTGGTAGATCATCGCTTACACATCATCACATATTAAATACACATCGCCAAATTAGCTAAGTAAAATATTTCTCGAATATTTTGTCTTCCACTAATTATTTGTTTCTTTTCACTTGACATATAAACACTCACCACTATATTGGGTGACCAAATTATTCATTGAGATTATTATTACATACTAGTTTATAATCATTGACCATACTTGGCCTTGTACTCTCTCCATAGCTGATTCACGTCCTTTCCAATCAAATCAACGAAGTAACCATCACTATAACCATTCCTCATCTTCTTGTTCAGCTCGGCCACAAACCCATTCCTCAAATCGTTACAATAATCCAAAAACCTCGCCGTAACATCATAACCTTGGTCCCATCTATCACCACCACCAGCCCCGACCCAATGACTCGCAACATAACCGGCTTTCAGCCTCACGTAATCCGCTATTCCTTCGATAAGCCCTACCGGAGTCCGACCTGCACCATTCCATTGCAAAAAATGGACCACCTCATGATAAATCACCCCGGTAAATCCCCTCCTTACATCTCCCGAGTCACCCATGAGAGATCCTGCGTTAATGTATCTTGTCTTCCAAGCTGTATGCCACGCCGTTACCGTTCTCCATGAACAGTGTGATCATTTTAACGTCCCTTCTGTCTGAATGGTTAGTTTGTTGGAACAAACGCCACGTGAAGTCCGTTGCAGATCTCAGTGATTGTTCGCCATAACTGACGCTGCCGATCTCATCTCGGAATCTCCTTCCTCCAGGAGAGTTGCCAGTATTGTCGAAAACTGAGAAATCAACTGCATTGACCATAGAGACTACGAGCATTAGAGATATTGCAAGGAAGATTTTGTGACAAGCCATTTTTTTTTTCTTTTGTTGGTCTTGTTTGCATCTGTTTAGATTTAGAGGGAACTTTATATCTTATATAATATTAGAAGGTTTCTTCTAAAGTTGCCTTAATATTTTGACATTTGGCGCTTCAAATGCTTGACATGTGTCATATTTTTCATCTCTTAATACTGCAACCTATATTTATTGAACTCAATAAATATTCAATAAATATTTTTCCATTAAAATATTTTTCACTATTTTAAGTTTTATTTCTTTTCCTCCAAACTTTTTAAGACCATTAAATGTAGAGAATAAAATTCAAATATGACAACTATATTTCTTTTTAACCTTTATTATTATTAAAGTGTTTAAGTATTCACATTAATTTACCATAATGAAACCAATAATCTTATTATTAGAGTGTTTAAGTATTCACATTAATTTACCATAATGAAACCAATAATCTATTTAATATTGTGGAAAATAGATTTCATATAATAATTTACAATAAAGTATTTTATGTATTTTCAGATATGTAACCCCCATACTAATAGTTATAAATTTTGTTAATTCATAATTTTTAGTAATCTTATTTGACACCAATATTGTGGAAAATAAATTTCTAATAGTAATTTACAATAGATTATTTTCTGTATTTTCAGATTTGTAACCCACATACTAATAATTATTTATGTTTTTAATTCAACGATTTTCTTAATAAAGTCCAATCTTTTTGTTTTGTCATGTTTTTAAATTAATGTTTATATTTCTCGGTAATTTCAATATTATTTACTTTTTGAGTAATAGTAATGCTTTCAATTATACTCTTCTTATAATTGGTTACTTTCAATGAAATTATTGGAAACAATTATAAATATATTACTTGCATATAAAAAAATATGAATTTCAATAAAATATCATCATTTAAAAACAAAATTTTGTAACATGTGGTTATTAGAATCCCAAACTAAAATGCATGCCTTTTGGATACAAATAAATATCACAATTAATTCTTCAATTAACTTTATTCATATTTGTAACCCCCATACTAATAATTATTTTTGTTTTTAATTCAGTAAATTTTTATTAAAGTCCAATATTTTTGTTTTGTCAATTTATTTTTTCATTTTTACATTTCTCTGTAGTTTCTATAATAATTAACTTTTATAGTAATAGTAATGCTTTTAATGTATATAATTGGAAAAATTATGTTAAAGACGGGTTTCACTCTATTCATATTGGTTGCGTTCAATGTATTGATGGAAAAAATTTATAAATATATATATTATAAGTTAATTGTAAACAATATGAATTTTAAAAAATATCATCATTTAAAAACACAGTTGTGTAACATGTGGTTATCAGAATTTCATACTAAAATGCATGATTTTAGGATAAGACTAATTAAAAACAAATATCACAATAAATTACTCAAAATGTAGTACTAACTCTTATGTTATAAATAGTTAGTGTGATATAAATATAGTTTCTCTTTGTACATATATAGAGAAAATATAAAATATTGCGTCATATAACTCTCATTGCTATAAAAATTAATGGATGATTTGTGTTCTTTCATCTACATCAATCATTATTTTTTTTACTTGATATACGATGAGTTTTAGGGACTTTCTAACATTTTATAGTTTAATTTGTGTCCAAGTTTCAATTGATCCTCTATCTTTGCACAAGGATATCGCACACACCATTGTGATCCTGTATAATTCATGTGTTAGAGGTCATATAAACTAACTTTTTTTTTAGTTAAAAACTTGAATGTAACACTAAGAATAAATAAATCAAAATGTAACAAGAACAAACTAAAAGTAATCGTTCAATTCATTAAATTAATCAAACGACATTATTTAGAAAAACAAAACCGAATAAATAAAAAATGACCCGAAAGAAATCATATTACTTTGTAAGTTAAATTTGAATTTAATTAATTTTCTGTTTCTATTTATCAAATCTCATATAATTGAATATTTAATTCTTAATTAATATTGTTAATAACTAAATTCGAATTATTTATTTATTTTTCCATTAATTTATTTTTCACTATTTTAAGTTTTAGTTCTTTTCCTCCATACTTTTTAAGACCAATAAAATGTAGAGAATAAAATTCAAATATGACAACTATATTTCCTTTTAACCTTTATTATTATTAAAGTGTTTAAGTATTCACATTAATTTACCATAATGAAACCAATAATCTTATTTGACACCAATATTGTGGAAAATAGATTTCATATAATAATTTACAATAAAGTATTTTATGTATTTTCAGATTTGTAAACCCCATACTAATAATTATTAATGTTGTTAATTCAATAATTTTTAGTAATCTTATTTGACACCAAAATAAATTTCTAATAGTAATTTACAATAGATTATTTTCTGTATTTTCAGATTTGTAACCCACATACTAATAATTATTTATGTTTTTAATTCAATGATTTTCTTAATAAAGTCCAATCTTTTTGTTTTGTCATGTTTTTAAATTAATGTTTATTTTCTTGGTAATTTCAATATTATTTACTTTTTGAGTAATAGTAATGCTTTCAATTATACTCTTCTTATAATTGGTTACTTTCAATGAAATTATTGGAAACAATTATAAAATATTACTTGCATATAAAAAAAATATGAATTTCAATAAAATATCATCATTTAAAAACAAAATTTTGTAACATGTGGTTATTAGAATCCCATACTAAAATGCATGCCTTTTGGATACAAATAAATATCACAATGAATTCTTCAATTAACTTTATTCATAAATGCTATGTTTTTCATATTTGTAACCCCCATACTAATAATTATTTATGTTTTTAATTCAGTAAATTTTTATTAAAGTCCAATATTTTTGTTTTGCCAATTTAGTTTTTCCTTTTTACATTTCTGTGTAGTTTCTATAATAATTAACTTTTATAGTAATAGTAATGCTTTTAATGTATATAATTGGAAAAATTATACAAAAGACGGGTTTCACTCTATTCATATTGGTTGCGTTCAATGTATTGATGGAAAAAATTTATAAATATATATATTATAAGTTAATTGTAAACAATATGAATTTTAAAAAATATCATCATTTAAAAACACAGTTGTGTAACATGTGGTTATCAGAATTTCATACTAAAATACATGATTTTATGATAAGACTAATTAAAAACAAATATCACAATTAATTCCTTAAAATGTAGTACTAACTCTTATGTTATAAATAGTTATTGTGATAAAAATATAGTTTCTCTTTGTACATATATAGAGAAAATATAAAATATTGCGTCATATAACTCTCATTGCTATAAAAATTAATGGATGATTTGTGTTCTTTCATCTACATCAAGCATTATTTTTTTTACTTGATATACGATGATTTTTAGGGACTTTCTAACATATTATAGTTTAATTTGTGTCCAAGATTCAATTGATCCTCTATCTTTGCACAAGGATATCGCACACACCATTGTGATCCTCTATAATTCATGTGTTTTGCCTCATACATTACTTAAAATGTAACACTGTTAGAGGTCATATAAACTAACTGTTTTTTTAGTTAAAAACTTGAATGTAACACTAAGAATAATGATGTGTGTCAGGTTTTAATCCTAAAGAACACAACGATAAAGCTGCAAGTGCACAGCAAATCGATTGTAGTACTTAAGGTATCGATCCCACAGAGACTAATAAGTTACAGTACGAGTTTTATGAAGAAGGAATATGTCTAAGACAAATCAAAAGAGTGGTTTGGTTTTGGGTTTTGTAGCTAAACTAAACTAAAAATAAAGCAATGTAAACAATTAAGATAAATCAATAAAACGAATGTTGGGCTGCAGGGAATTCTCAGGGTATCATGGATCGAATCATGCTAGGAAATCAAACTAGGAATTTCGGTTATTTATGTTCAAGAACTAGAATTTCGATTAAGAGATTGGTCTACTCCCATAGCACCAATAACTATGTCTAAACACCCTAAATTACTCTATTTCCGCAGGTAATCAAGATGCTAAACATGCATAAACAATCCAAATTCAATATGCTCACAAAGCTTTATAACTCAACTTTCGGTTGGTTATAACGCTTTGCTAATCTAAATTACTTTAGGCGATTTAAATCTATCCTAATAGCAGTAGCTAGACGGTCAATCAAGCAATAAGCATCAAAGTAAACCTAGATTGGAGAACAATAAACTAGAAAACCTAGATCTAATAGCCCTAATTAACGATCCATGAATCCCCTTTCGAAAACCCTTAAACCCAACGAGAGAACTACTCACACATACTCATAGAAAGCAAAACCATATGAATAAGAGATTGCATAAAAGAGTATGAATATGAAAAGGGTTTAGAGATCTTCTCTGGAATACAAAGTAGATGAATCTTCTCCCTTAAACAAGTAGAGAATAGAGAGAAGAGAAGAAAAGAAAGTGTTGTGGTGGTCGGCGGCTTCAACGGCAGCAATCGGTGAGGAACGGCGGTGAGGGAGCTTTGGAGGCTTCTCTGGTCGTATCTAGGAGGCTGCTGGTGATGGAGGTCGAAGACACCCCCTAATTAGGGTTTACAACTTGTATTTATAGGCCTCGGGAAGTAACAAGTCGGTTTAAGGTTTTCTCGGCAAAACTACGTAGTTTTAATAAGTGTAGGGACGAGGAGGCTTAGCCCGGTCACGAGGGGCTGTGACCGTCCTCACCAAGAGGCTCCAGACCGGTCACGTTGGGTTGTGACCGGTTCCAACTAGGGCTCTACCACCGGTCGCATGCCTTGCGACCGGTCTCTGACAGGCTGACTTCAATCGGCAGTAACTTCTGTTTGGCAGCTGGGATTGAGTTGATTCTTCCTCCATTGTAATCTTGACTCTTCCAGCTTTCCATAGAGTCTAAGATCTCCAAATTTTCTCCACGGGAAGGCCTCCAACGGACGCCTAACTTCTGAAGCTTCGAATCTGTTCTGAAACGGGTTTTGCTCGTCTTTTGGTCCATTTTGCTTAGAAACTCCTAAAACCTTCTTGACTCCATAAATACTTGAATATCTCCTCTTAGCCTTGAAATCACACCAAA